ATATATATATATATATATATATATATATATATATATATCTCCAATAATAATGAGAAAGAGATTAGAAGCATGTGGTATTTCTGTTCAAGACTGAGGCACTAACCAGATACAGTGGGATACATCTGTAATCCCAGCAAAGCAGGAAGATGAGAGAAGAATCACAAATTGAAGGCTAGCCTGGGCAGCTTAGCAAGACCCTGTCTCAAAATATAAAATAAAAAGGACTGGGGATACAGCTCAGTCGTAGAGCACCCTGCATTCAATCTCCAATAATGAAAGAAAAAAAAAGAGAGAGGGAGGCACTTTAGATACTACCAGATTAAAATCCAGCATGGATTGGTCAGTGTTTCATAGTACTTCCACTGCCACCTCAAAATGCCTGTCTGTCTCTATACATGATAGGGATTCTTTAGTTGGCTAAAAGGATAAATATCAAAAAGAAACGCAGGCATAGGATCTTCATTCCAATGATCATTTCTATTCCTTCTGAAATAAAAACTGGGTTTTGGTATAGATGATAAAGTCACTCAGAAGCATGCTTTGGCCATCCATTTGTGATTGCTCCAGGACTGTGGTTGGACCACATTGGAAACCCCTGTAGGTACTGGCTTAGAAGAAAGTCATTGTGACTTTTCCAAACTAGAAACCCATGGCCTTCCCTTCTAAACATACCTGCCAATAGAGATGATGTCCGCATTCTACTGTAGAATATGGGGAGGTGGCCAGCACCTTGTTAGGGGGTTCTTCTTCCTGCCAAGGAAGGTGTAAGCCACTTAAGAAATTAAAGTATAGAATAATTAGTGAAAAAGACAAAGTCAGAAAGATAGTTTCAAAAAGGTGGAGCCCTTGATAGGTCCAGTCCACACAGGAGCTGCAGCTAGACAAATAGAAAATGGTTCCTGTGGCTTATTCAAGGGGTACATCAAAAGCAGGGATAAGGTTTCAGGGGTGGAGTCTTGCTTCGAGATTTCTTACTGTCAGCAGATTGACTGGCATCTTGGCAAGTCACATGCCATGCATCTCAGAGAGACTTTATGGCTACAGCATGTCACCCCATCTCCTGTGCTATGTGGGACCTGGATGAATAGAGCTCACAATGTGTCTGGGCTGTCAACCAGAGGAAATGTCCACTAGAAGTTCCCAGGCACCAGATTCTCCTATACATCAGGCTGTGATGGGCTCTATAATCCACACACAGCTCATAGATGGCTCTCAACAGTGGAACCCAGAAGAGCAACCCAGTTTACAGAGAACTACATGAAATCTGCCCAGAGGCCTTAATGGAATTGATAGTAGTGTCTATGGGTTTGCTATAATGAGTAAAACTCTGATGCAGCTCTTGATTCTACTCTTTCTGTCCTCCACCAAAAAAAGAAAAAAAAAGAAAATCTCTGCAAGGTTATTTGGTGTAGGTGTTCATTAACCAAGAGCATGGTTAAAGAAATCTATATTCATTTAAAAAAATGGGAATTAGAGATATCTTTCTACTGAAAAATGGATTTTAGAGACCTCTTTTGGGGTCTTAATGAACCTTCCTCAAAGTCCTAGTCAATATCTTCAAATCACTTTCTCCAAAATTCAACTGAGGATCCATTTGGATTAAAGACTTAGAGCAGATACCATAAATGGACAATTGGTTAAGATATTAGAAGTTTCTAGTTCTGAAGACCAGGTAGTCCTATCTTAACCAGTTTGAGCTTTTCTTAAATGTTTTCCTTTTTTTCCTTAGAGGCAGATGAGGTACCTTAATAAGAAAATAAGAGCACTTTGAGCCCTTACAAGGACTATGAATATATAAATCCACGTGCCTCAGAGAAGAGCAAAGTGGTACTCTTACTAATTTATAATAATGATGGTGCAGTTTGAGGAGCTGCTAGGAATGATAGAAAGGGTGCAGTGTTGGCCACAAAGATTTCTGTGGGTTTAAGGACCACCAGGAAGACAGGACATTTGTGAGAAGAACACCATTTGGGGGCCAAATAATTCACCAAGTCCATAGTCTTATGTTCTTTAATTTGCATACATCCATCTTCTATGAAGGAAATGGTTCATTTTGCCAGATACTAGTATGTACGAGGTAGAAATGGTTTGACTACAAATATTGGAAAACTTGACTAGCTGTGATTTAAACAAGGAGGGGAGTTACTTTTCTCAAATACTAGAATTCTGGAACAAAGTAGTTCTTGGTGTTAATTTAGCTGCCCCATAGTATCATCATGACCATACTCTTCCATCTACCCTCTTCACTCTTCTTGGCAAGGTGGCCTATCTCTGCATCCTATCCTAGGATAACAAAGCCCCCAGGATCTTAGTAGTATCCAAAGATAGGATGGATGGAAATAGAAGAATGGGGAGAAAAGAGAAAAGAGAGGAGAGGAGAGAAGAGAGAAAGAGAGAGAGCCCTGGGCTCTATTTTAACTTGAAGCACTCCTTGAAGTCTTAAGTCTGACTGGTCAGAATCATGAAGCTACCTTTAGCAGCAAAGGAAGATAGAAAAGAAAATGTTAAAATTCAGATTTTATTTAAAAAGAAAAGATGGGGTGAGGAATAGCTGGGAAGTCGGCAATGCATTTCAACATAACATTCAACATAACATCCCAGAGAATTCCAACAGAGTTGGAATTGAGGAAGATCTGTACTAAATTCAGAGTAGTTGGGACTCAATATGGATGGGAGGAAAGCCTTAAGGAATAAGAAATGTACATATGCAATACAGAGTTGGAATTCTCTGGGATGAATGTCATTCCAATACAGGGTCATTTTTTGGAACCACTTCGGACTTGGGTTTCGGTTCCCTTGAATTTCGTTGATTAAATTGGCCAAAACCATTCTTTTTTTTTTTGGTTGATGTTAGGCTCAACCTTCATTAATAGAGAAAGTACTTTGGTAACCAAAAGGTGTACTCCATAAATAACTCAGCTAAGACACAATTGTAAGTAAAAGAAAGCACAACTCCATTTGACTTATGTTATAAACAATGAGTTGGCTTTCACTCAGGAACTTTAAAAGTCCTATGGTGTAGTGAGCTATAGGCACAGTTTGATCAGAGTTCCAAACTCCATTTCTCTATAATTTTCCCTGTTTTGCCTTCAAGCATATATCAGCTTTATCAATAGGCAAAGGCTAAGCCACAGGCTTTTCATGCACACTATACCATTAACAGCAAGAGAGAAAATACATGCCCCAAAATTTCTATAAGTGTAAAGATGTACTCTGATGGACTGGTTTATGCCATATGATTTTTTCTGAACTAACCATCAGTTAGAGGAATCAGTTTAGCATAGGTTATGTGTTCCTTCTTTAGATCATATCTATGACTCCAGAATCTCATGGATTCTCAGTAGAATCCAGAAACTATTGAAAGGAAGGCATAGGACAATTCTAAGTGTGAACTGTAGTCAGCTGTCCTTGAT